TTAAAGAAACAGAGGCTCGGGGCGCCTGGGTGGCTCAGTCGGTTAAGCGACTGCCTTCGGCTCAGGTCATGATCCTGGAGTCCCGGGATCGAGTCCCGCATCGGGCTCCCTGCTCGGCGGGGAGTCTGCTTCTCCCTCTGACCCTCCTCCTTCTCATGCTCTCTGTCTCTCATTCTCTCTGTCTCAAATAAATAAATAAAATCTTAAAAAAAAAAAAAAAAGAAACAGAGGCTCGGAGAAAGCACTTAATTTGTGCAAGGTCACCGAGCCCCCAGAGAGTTCCAGAGCTGGTGGGGGTGGGGGCAGGAGGGCCTCAAGAGTCCGGTGGAGGCCTGCCCCTCCAGCTGCGGACCGGCATGCAGGTCACTGGCCCCAGGCGCCTCCTGCGTCCGGCTCTGCATCTGACACACACAACGAGGAGAAGCTCCTGCAACACAGCTTCCGTGTCGGGACCATCACGGCCATGGCCACCGCTGATCAGCTCCAGTGTTTCTTGGCTGCCTTGGCTCCACTCAGACACCCCACAACCCACTCCCCTCCCCAGCGCCGCCCCCTCCCCTGCCTCTGAGCCACAGGGCCCTCCGGCCCAGCTGAGGAGAGAGAAGCACGGCCCCAGGATGGACAGTGAGTGGACGTGAGGACAGAGGGAGGGACCTCGGGCCCGATGGGCACAGCACCCTCGCCTGTCTCTGCAACCACCAATGGTGCTATGAGGGGCCTCCGGGAGCCCAGCCTCGGCTGGGCAGGCCGGACGGAGCCACCCGGGGCCAGTGACCGGCGCTGAGAAGTGCAATATGGCTGCAGCATCGGGGTGGGGGTGCCCACAGCCCCTCTGCCTCCAAGAGAACAGCTCCCTACGCCCTCAGGAGGCTACAGAGCCCCTTGCCCGCCCCTCACAGGCAGCTTCCATTTCCACCCTGTCTTCTGCTTGGCTCATAAGTCACGGTGCAGGTGGCAGGTGGAGAAACTGAGGCTTGGAGTCAGACATGGCTTATCCAAGGTCACAGAGCCGGGGAACGGCAGATGCTCGGAGGGTCTGACCTGGGACTGGGTCACCGCCTGCAGTGAGGGATGACAGGAGTCCCTGGTGCCGGCACCATCCCTTCCAGCCACTCCGGCTGTCCTGGCTGCCCTGGGCACCCATGCACAAGCCCATCCCGGCAAGCTGACGTTGCTGGTCAGGAATGCAGAACTGGCCTTCAAATACTTCAGTGATTTCATGCCGTGGCATCTCCCTCTTCCCCAGCCGCCTGAGGCACCGGGCCACGCCGCTGAGGCCTAATGAGCTGTGAAGGTCCATTTTTCAAAGTTAAACATTTCCCGGGCTCCCTGGCCCAGCCTTTAGATGCAGCCTGGGTGTGGGGCCAAGACAGCCACCCAGGGAGGTCCACACGGATTCCCCTAACACCCTCAGCTCTCACTGCCCACCCGATGCCCACGGAAAACCTGCCTCAGCAGCCAACTTGTGGACACAGAGCCGGGTGGATGAAGACCTGGGGAGCTGGGAATCCCAGCCCAGTGCAACCTTCAGATGTGTGGGTCCTAAACCTTCCCCTTTACAGATAAGAAACCTGAGGGGAGGGGTGCTACAGATCCCCTTATGTCTGGGACCACAGAGTCTTACCCACTCTGGTTCCCTCGGGGTCTAACACAGGACCAGGCACAAAGCAGGTGCTGAATCAATGTTTGCTGCCAGGAGGTGCAGAGCAGTTAACCACAGCCGTGGATGGAGACCCCGGAGCCCAGAACCTTGCTCCTGGATCCGCTGACTGGCCTGGGAGGGCTCGAACTGCCCTACCAGCAGTTCGAGGGACTCTACCGGGACCGCTGTCGGCTTCCACATGAGGTGACCTGACCCCTAGTCTCCTCCCCGCCTCTGTGGGGGTGACGGTGGAAGGAAACCTGAGTGTGTACTCGGGCTGAGTGGAGGTGTCAAGGCTCAGATCTGCTCCTACCGGGCTCTGTGAGCTTGGGCAAGCCACTTCTCTGGGCCCTAGGGTCTCTATCTGCCATTTGACAGCATTAATCTCTTGAGCCGAGTCTTCTCGCTCTCATTTCTTCCAAGCTCCTGGAAGTCCATACCGACACTCTCCTTCCCGATCCCTGCAGGTGCATCTGTCCATCATCTACACCATCATCATCTGTGCATCCAGCTTTCAGCCATTAATGCATCTATTCATCCATCCACCCATTCATCCTTCTACCACCCACCCACCCACCATCCATCCATTTTAGCCACCCATGTACACACCTGCCACCTCACCCACCTACCTGCCCACTTACGGATATATGAGGACTGCAGCAAGCATACAGTGTGCCAGTCGTGGGCCAGGGCTAGAGCCCAGGTCCCCAAATCCTGACCCCTGACCTTTCCAGGATGCCAGGGACTTCAAGAGCTCTGGGAATACCCATTCTGTCCCTGGCTCTGCCTCTGACTCCTGCCTGCTTGAGGAAGAGCTCCTCTCCCCCACTCGAGATCCCTGGGAGACAACCAGAAGCTAAGGTACCAGCAAAGCCCTGCAGCCCCCACTGACCCTGCTTCAGGACCATGGGAGCCTGGTCAAGAACCTCAGAGTCTCCGCCTATATTGGGCACACGACAGCAGAGGCTTTGCACTGGGCCCCACCGGGAAAACTGGCTGGCTCAGAGGACTAGGAACGGACAATATGGGTAGGGGATTCAACAACATGACTAAAAATAGGGGAACAAGATACATTTTCCCCCTTGCCCCCAAATCCACAGCTTCTCAAGGGTCTGTGGAGCACTGGGTTCCAGCCACCAGCAAAGGTGGGACTAGGCCTCCCCGGATGAGCCCTCTGCAGATCCCAGGGCAACCGGTTCAAATGGCAAATCCCAATTATACCAAATACCCAGAAATACATGCATGGTTCCTTAGCAACCATAGCTGTAGGGACTGAGCTGGGAATCGGTGTTTTTCCCTGTGTGTCCCTCCATGCTTTGGTCCCCTCACTTGTCCATCTGTACTCTCAGCCCGCAGACACATTATATGCCTGGAATAGCGAGTAAGATCCTGCAGAGCCCTGAAATTGTACTTACTCCAAGGCACACACATGCACGTGCACACACGCATACGTACCATATACCGTGTGCCATGTAGAGAGGCTAAGGTTAAGAAATATTACTACTGAGTCAGAAATTACTACTGAGTCAGAAAAGGAATGGACTACTGATAAAAACAACAACTTGGGTGAATCCAATCCCCAATTTATATAGGCTATGATTCCATTTTTATAGCATACTTGGAAAGACCAATTACAGAAATGAGTAACAAGGTAGTGGTTACCAGGATCAGAGATGGGGCTGGGGGGAGGTAGCTGAGTGTGGCTGTAAAGGGCAACAAGAGGGAACTTCATGTCGATGGAGATCTTCTGCGTCTGGACTGTATCACTGTCCTTGTCCTAGTCGTCACGCTATACTACAGTTCTGCAAGATGGTATCACTGTGGTGAACTGATAAAGAGCACATCTCTGAATTATTTCTCATGACTGCATGGGACTCTACAGTAATCTCAAAACAAAATTAAGTTTAAATAAATGATGCCATCAAAAATGGGTGGTATTTTTAATAAAAGATGTAAGATCAACTGGAGTAATACACGGAAAGACCGGAAACTTGATCCCTACCTCACGCCATGGTTAAAAAATTAATGCCTGTTGGGCCACAAATCTGTCAAATGTAAAACAATAAAGCTTTTAGAAGATGGCATGGAAGAGTATCTTTGAGAACCTGAAATGAGAAAACATTTTGTTATGAGCCAACAAAAAGCACTAACCATGAAAGATGACTTGGACTACATTAAAATCAAGAACTTCTTCTCTTTTAAAGATATAACCACAAAAGTAAACAGCCAAGACATCAAATAGAAGAAGATATTTATAACCCACATAATCAAGAATAGAAGTGTTTACAGATATATAAAGAACTTCTACATATGTGTAAGATCAAGGCAAACCTCTCAGTAGAAAAAAATGGGTAAAGGTTTTGAACAGATACATTACAAAATAGAATATCCAAATGGCCAATCTACTTATGAAAAGGTGCTCGCCAGGAGGGCTAACTTTCAAAGGACCGGTGAATATCAAGTGTTGACAAGGACAAGGGACAACCAGCACTGAACTGCCTCTGAAAGGTGAAGCACAGTCCTGTAAAAATCAATACAACCACTTTTGAAAACTGTCTGGCAGTTTCTAATCCAACATAGGAACACACCTACAACCCCACTGCTAGGTATCTGTCCCATGAAAGGCAAGTACAAGAATGTTCACAACAGTACTATCCGTAAGCACTGAAGACCGGAAACAGCCCAAATATACGTCAATGTTAGACAAGATAAACAGGGTACTATGTAATGTTGCACCAACATTTAGGGACCTCACATGTCTACTTTGTTGAACAAAGAAGCCAGCCTCAAAAGAACACATAAGGTGTGGTTCCGTTCATATAAAGCACAGAAACAGGAAAAACTAATTTGTGGCATTAAAAATCAGGAAAGTGTTTCCCTTTGAGGAGTAAGGAGGAGTGGTGATGACAGAAGGAGTGGAGACGCTTGTGAGATGCAGGTGATGTCTCATTTCTTGAACCTAGATGGTCCTTCCATGAATTTCATTTTGTGATCATTTACAGAGCCACATACGCTAAGTTTTTTAGAGTTTTGTTTCTCAGACGATACTACTACAGGGTGGGACTTGTGGCATGCTATAGTGAAAAGGTCACCAAATCCTATTGCCAAACCAACTATAAAACTAGTCAAAACGATTAAAAATAACATTTTCAGCGTCCTAGAAACTGACCAAAGGCATTTCTGCATGAAAACCTGACAGGGTAAAGGTGGTGTTCTTGCCTGAAACTGCTCCCTCCACCTCCCCTCTCCCAGCTCAGCAGGTACATCATCAGAACAGGGCACACAGGACAGGGCAGGCCATGGACACTAGAAGTTTCACTGCCAGAGGCCGATTTGATTCAGAAGACGCAAAACTCACGATCAGCAGCAGTGGTATCCGTGATAAGTGGTAATTTCGGCGCGAGTGAATGGGGGAAGCCAGAGATTCTACCCAGCAGAGGCTGTGATCCTGGCTCGGGCAGCAACACACCAGTGGATTAGCTGGAAATCTGACAGAGAGAGACATGAAATATGACAGTGTAGCAATGCTCTGTAAGCTCTCCACATGCACCCAGCTGATGGGCAGCACACACCCAGAGAGAGCAGAGAGGGCCCATGGAATTCACATATTCCTGGCTTACTGAGAGCCTGCGGACATGCACAGACATGAGAGGTTCTGGCAGAAAGTAAATACCAAGCAGGCTTGAAAACTGCCTGGTCTTTAAATGTGTTCTTAAACCCACATGCAGATTCATCAGCAGAGAGTGGAAGCCCAACAAGGCTCCAGGCACACAACCTCTGACCAATCACTGACTGACCACTAAGCTAAGCAGACGCAGAGATGATCCTCGGGAAGCCAGAATTAAATATAATAGCAGGGATTTAAAATGAGGAGGGCGACAAAACAGAAACATCAACAGTCATACATCAGGGGAAAATGGATTTCAATGTTTTAGTCCAGAAGAATTATTCAAAACCCAGCAAAAATACCAACTTTGGGGCCAGGGAGGGGGGAGATCAGAATCTAGAGCTTCTACAAAATATTATCTACAATGCCCATGTTCAACCCCAAATTGCAAGACATGCAGGGAAACAGGAAAGGGTAACTCATACTCAGAATAAAAAACAGTCAATAAAAATTGTCACAAGATGTTGCACATAGCAGACAAAGACTTCAAGGTAGTGATCATAAAACTGTTCGACAATTGTGTTTAAAGAATGAAAGTATGACAATGACTTAAAAATAGAGAACCTCGAAGAGAGAGATTATTCAAAAAAACGGAAATTCTGGAATTCCAGAATTCTGGAGTCTGCTTGAGATTCTCTCTCTCCCTCTGGCTCTCCCCCCAGCTTGTGTTCTCTCTCTTTCCCTCTAAAGTAGATAAGTCTTTTTTTAAAAATTAAAAAATTAAAAATTAAAATAAAATAAAAACATAAGATTACATAAAGCAATAATCATAACACTATGTTGTTGGGGTCATAACATATATTCATGTAATATATATGACAATAACAGAACAAGGACAAAAGAGATAATGGGACTATACCAGAGCAGAGTTTCCATATTTCACAATTAGTGTTAAACTGAAATCACCTGCAATGAGTTAAGATGCATATTGTAATCCGCAGGGCAGCCACTAAGAAAACAACTTAAAGCGATATAGTTTAAAAAATTAACAAAGGAATTAATATAGCACACTAAAAGTATTTACCTAACACAAAAGAAGGCAACAAAGGAAAAGAGAAAGAAGGGGGAAAAGGTGAGACATGTAGAAAATAAGAAAAGTGTAACCATGTCAAATACAAAATACATTAAATGTAAATGGACTAAACAGCCCAATCAAGAGGCAGAGATTGTTGGACTGGGTTAAAAGCACAACATTCAAATACAGATCATCTAAAAAGTGTCACACTTTATGTTCAAAAATACAACCCTGTTGAAAGCAAAAGGATGGGAGGGCACCTGGGTGGCTCAGTTGGTTAAGCGACTGCCGAAGGCTCGGGTCATGATCCCGGAGTCCTGGGATCGAGTCCGGTATCAGGCTCCCTGCTCGGCAGGGAGTCTGCTTCTCCCTCTGACCCTACCCCCTCTTGTGTTTTCGCTCTAATAAATAAATAAAATTAAATTTTTAATAAAAGAAAGCAAAAGGGGGGCGCCTGGGTGGCTCAGTCATTAAGCGTCTGCCTTCGGCTCAGGTCATGATCCCAGGGTCCTGGGATCAAGCCCCGCATCGGGCTCCCTGCTCAGTGGGAAGCCTGCTTCTTCCTCTCCCACTCCCCCTGCTTGTGTTCTTGCTCTTGCTATCTGTCAAATAAATAAAATCTTTAAAAAAAAAAAAAAGCAAGCAAGCAAGCAAAAGGATGGGAAAATACATGCAAACAGTATGCATGACAGAGCAGGAGTGGGTACATTAATATCAGACAAAATAGACTTTAAGAAATATTACCAAAGGCTGGGGCATGTGGGTGGCTTAGTCAGTTAAGCCTCTGACTCTTGATTTGGGCTCAGGTCATGACTCAGGGTCGTGAGATCCAGCCCCATGTTGGGCTCCATGCTGGGCTTGGGGCATGCTTAACATTCTCTCTCTCCCTCTCCTTCTGACCCTCCCCACCCTCCCCCTCTCTGGAAAGAAAGAAAAAAAGAAAGAAAGATAGATAGATAGATTACCAAAGGCAAAGAGTGACATTTCATAATGATAAACAAGTCCATATCTCAGGAGGACATAACAATTATATGTGTATATGCCTGTAATGAAAGAGAACCAAAATACATTAGGCAAAAAAAAAAAAAAAAGAATTAAAAGGAGAAACAGACAATTCAACAATAGTTGGAGATTTCAATACTCCACTCTCAATAACTGACAGAACAATAGTCAAAAAACAAGCAAAGATGTAGAAGACAAACAGCACCATCACCAACTTGACCGAACTGACATTTATAGAATATTCCATCCAGTGGAACACACATTCTTTTCAAACACACGTGGTACATTCTCCAGGGCAGACATGTGCCAGGCTGTAAGATGAACCTCAATACATTTAAAATGAATGAAATTGTAGAAGGTATAGTCTCCAACCACAATGGAACTGAAAAGAAATGAACAAAATAAATAAATCATGAGAAATCCCTCAAATATTTGGAAAGTAAACTACAGAGTTTTAAATAGCCCATGTGACAAAAAAAAATCACCAAGAAAATTAGAAAATGTCTTTAATTCAATGAAAATAAAACCAGAATGTACAAAAATCTATGATATGCAGTTAAAAGTAGGGCTTCATTTGAAATTTATAGATTTCAATTTATATCAGAAAAGAAGAAAAATCTTAATAACCTAAGTTCTCACCTTAAGAAACTAAAAAAGCAGAGAAAACTGAACCCAAAGCAAATAAAATAATAAAGATCAGAGCTGAGATTGATGGAATAAAAAACAGAAGAAAATAGAGAAAATCAATGAAACCAAAATTCAGTTATTTTAGAAGATCAACAAAAACGAGAGACCTTTAGCTGGACTGACCAAGAACAAAAAGGGGAAGAAGACACAAGTTATCAAAGTCAGTTATTAAAGAGGAAACATCACTACCAGTCCTACAGAAATTAAAGGGAGTATAAAGGAATATTATGAACAACTTGATGCCAACAAGTTAGACGATTTAGATGAAGTACACATATTCCTAGAAAGACACAAATTATCAAAACTGATGCAAGAAAATCTGAATAGACTTATGCCATTTTTAAATGAATAATTTAAATTATCCTCACAGAGAAAAGCCCACGCACAGATGGCTTTAGTGGCAAATTCTGTCAAATATTTAAAGAAATAATATTGAACTTTCACAAACTCTTTCAGAAAAGAAAGGGGAGAAAAACTCCCGTATTCATTCCATGAGAGCAGTATTTTTTTCCCCTGATACCAAACCCAGTCAAAGATATCAGAAAAAAATAATAGACCGATATCCCTGACGAACCCAGGTGCCAAAATCCTTCACAAACTATTAGGAAATGAAATCCAGCAACATATAAAGAGGATTATACAGGTGGCACTTACCCCAGGAATGCAAGGCTAGGTTTAGGGTTGGCATCTGAAAATAACTAGTCCCATACCACACTGATAGACAAAAGGACAAGAACCACATGATCATGTTGTAGATACAAAAAGTAAAACAAAACAAAACCACCTGACCAAACCCAACACCCATTCGTGATAAAAACACACAACAAACCAGGAGTACAAGGCACCTCCTCAGCCCAAAAAGACCATCTATGAAAACCATGGCCAATATCATACTTAACAGCGAAAGACAGAAAGCTTTCCCCATAAGGCCAGCAGCAAAGTACCTCTGCCTTCCAGCATGATTCTGGAAGCTCCACCAAGTGCAGTAAGACAAGAAAAATAATAAAAGGAATCTAGTTTGAAAGGGAAGATGTAAAACTCTCCTATTTGCAGATGACATGATTCTGTATGAAGAAAATCTAAGGAGTCCATAAAAAGTCCACTGGAACTAGCTAATAATTAAATTTCGCAAGATCGTCAGATAAAAGATCAATATACCAAACTCAATTTTATCCCTATGTACTAACAACAAACAATCTGAAAATGAAATTAAGAAAATTATTCCATTCACAATAGCATCAAAAAATATTGAGGAATAAATTTAACAAAAGAGATTTAATTAGCAAGACTTGCACATGGAAAACAAAAAATTGCTAAGAGAAATTAAAGATCTAAATCCATGGAGAGACATTCCATGTTCATGGATTGGAATACTTCATATTCCCAAATTGATGGAAATTAAACATGAGCCCATCAAAATCCCAGCAGGCTTTTTTTTTTCCTAAATTTTTCTACATTTCTAAATCATCTAAATTATCTAAGAAATTGACCAGTTGAGGTGCCTGGGTGGCTCAGTCAGTTAAGCGTCTGCATTCAGCTCAGCTCATGATCTCAGGGTCCTGGGATCAAGTCCCGCATCGGGCTCCCTGCTCAGTGGAGAGCCTGCTTCTCCCTTTCTCTCTCCCTCTGCCCCTTCCCTTGCTTGTGCACTCTCTCTCTCTCTAATAAATAAATAAAATCTTAGGGAAAAAAAATAGACAAAAGACCCAAATGTAAGAGCTAAGACTATAAAACACATAGAAAAAAAAATAGAGGAAAATCTTGGTGACCTTGGATTAAGCAAAGAATTCTTAAGCACCAAAAATGTAAAAGAAACACAGTAAAGGGGGAAAAATGGACAAAAGCAGACTCTAGTATAAATAAAAACTTCTAAAAGCCACCTTTAAAACACTGAAAGATGAGCTACGACTGGGAATAAGGTATTTGCAAGTCATATTTCTGATAAAGGACTTGTATCCAGAATGTATAAAGAATTCCCTCAATAATTTTGAACATTTTGAAACTCAATAAGACAAACCCATTAACTTGGCAAAAAGATTTCAATAGAAACTGTATCCAAAAAGTAATATGAATACTTAATGAGTGCATGAAAAACGTTCAACGTCATGCATCATTAG